ATCTGCTTCCTCTTGATGATATAGCTGTGAAGCAAACAGGAAGCCTGTTGACCATCATTCAGGCCAGCCTCAGATTTACATATAATAATGAGTGAGTTCCACAATCCTTCGGAACTGTTATAAATCTTAGCTTATTTTAATAATTAGCATCAGAGCAACTAATGTAGAAGGAACATTATTTTACAGATGCATTTGTGTTACTCCTCTCTCCAATGTTTGTAAGTAGGTAGTGCAGCCATCTTATTATTTGACCTCTAAGGCAATTGTTTTAAAAAAAAAAGATTCACTAAAGGCTTTCTATTCTCCCTACAGTAATGAGACACTCATAGATATACCGTATATACTTGTTCATAAGCCGAATTTCTTTAGTAAAAAAGGGAAGCACCAGAGACAGGGGTCGGCTTATGAACGGGTATAGAGAGGGAGAGGTAGGACACAGCCTCTCCCCCCAACAGAGGGAGCAAGGAGAGGCAGCACAGCCAGCAGAGACAGAAGGGAAGAGGCGAGGCCAGAGTCTCTCCACTTCTGGCCACGCTGCTCTCCTCCCAGCTTCCGAAGCAGCTGCAGCTGTGCCGCTCGGCCCCGCCCCCCAGAGCAGGCTGTAGCCGCGCCGCCCGGTCTGGCCTGCCGGAGCAGCTCCAGCCAGGCCAGAGACATCCTCCCCTGGCCCTCCCCAGATAAGGTGGGAAGGGATGGGATGGGATGGGGAGAGGGTGGGGGTCCCAGGCTAGGGTGGGGTCATGTGGGGGGTGGTCACAGGGGTTACTCCCCTGACTCCCAGCTTCCCTCCCCCCCCCAAAAAATGTCCCCACCAGTTGCTGTCCTGGCCCATCAGGGTAAGCAACTGGCGCACCGGGACACTTTGTTTACTTAGGTTTACCTCCGTGCCTGCGGCCGCTCGAGGTAAACAAACCATCTCGGCCCACCAGCGGCTTATCCTGATGGCCCGGGAGCGAAAGTTTGCTAACCCCTGAATTATAGGGTCAGCTTATGAACGGGTTATAAAAATTTTCCATTTTTACTTATGCATCTTGGGGAGGTCAGCTTATAAATGAACCGGCTTATGATTGAGTATATACGGTAATTCATCAGCTCATTCTCAAAGGAGTTTGAAGCAAGGTTGTTTATCTCAACCAAACCAAGATTTTGTTCTCTCTTGGTATAATTCTCCCACAGACTGCAAAAATTAATCAAAATTAGGTTACTTTTGTTACAATATTGATTGAGGAAACAATCCGCCATTGGAAACTGAGCTAGCATACACCGTACATAGCTGAAAAAGCCAGACATATAGGAAATAAATGGCATTGCTGCCAGATTCACTCAGACCAACCACTAAGTGGTGCAATTGGACTAGAAATGATCAGTATTTTCCCTAGTGACAGCGCCTGTGTCTATAAATCAGTTGTGTCAAACTCAGGGTATTCTGTGGTTTATCCCCTGAGCAGCCATGCCAAGAAGCCAAGCCACTAATTGATTTCTGCATTTTTGAAGTTAATAGTATATTAGATAAGTCAGTTTTACAAAGAACTCGATTGTCTATTATGAAAAAAAACATTGTATTTACACATCTACCAGTAAGCGATGATGGTTATTTTCATATATAGTTGTTTGTTCTCCTAAGATACATAATTGCCTAAAAACAAAGCTGTATTATATTGAACTGATCAAACTGCAAAACTCTAATGGTGTGATTTTTTTTAAAAAAAGAAGTTGCTACAGAATCCCCCATTTGCAGCAGCATCATGTTGTGGTATGTAGGAACTATGCCATAGAATGTAGGCCTAGTTTGCCCTGGGGTGCACAGAGCTTTGTGAAGAGAGTCTGCTTCTCTTCACCCATCACCGAAACGCAGCCGCCTGAAGTGCAGTAAGATGCAGCAGGTGTAAATAGACAGAATTACATTAATTTGTGGGAAGGATCAGGGTTTGCACCATCTCTGATGGAACTCTTCCCTGGTGCCATGCACTGATAAGGCACCCCTAGCTTTTATCACAGAGCTGACTTCTGAATAGTGATTTAATTTGCACCCACCTGCACCAGGCAGAAGGTTTCTACTCCTTTTCACTCAGAGGGATAGCAGGTTCCCCCATCCTTCCCTACACAGAATTCATTTTCTCTCTTCATCTTCCAGGCTGGTCAAAGACAACATGCAGGCCACCTTGCAACTTCCACACAAACCAAAATCTTTGAATACAACACTCTGTCAGAGCCTGACCTCCCATGCCAGCACTCACCAAGACTGAGGGTTGAACGAGGTGGGCAGGGAACCTTTGTCATTACAATTCATTACAGTGTTAGAGAAGTGGGGGGGTGTAAAACTGGGCCATGAGGAGAAATGAATGGTAAGGCGTTCCTGGGTCATATGCCCTAAATTTCCTAGCTCCCTCTGCTAACAGGAAGTTTGGGGGCTAGGAGCATAGGTAGAAGCTGTTTCGTTAAAGTTGATCACAAAAGGACCTACAGACTGAGAGAAAGTCTCATCGCATACTGGTTTCTTAATCCCAAGACTAGCAGAGCAGGGGGATCATTTCTATTGGCTCATATTTATCTCCTTGTAATTTTCAGGATCCTGCATTCTTTGCAAGGGAAATCCAAGGTCAATACATACAACCCATCCCTTCATTTGGACAAGCGGGCCCTGGATGTTCTCGGGTTCTTCACACATTCTCTGAAGATCATCAGAACACCAGAAGAGAGAACCAGCCAAGATTTCCACAGTGAAATCACAATGGGGGGAAAAAAAGTACTGTCATTATGTTTGTTAAGCATCCGTGCTGTTTGGCTGTCTGGTACAAGACAACAGGTGTGGCCCATGCTTTGCACTCTTGATATATTGACAATGTATAAAAACCTGGGAACCTCACAAGTAGGTTCTGTCTTACAGCGTCTTGGTGTGTTTTTAATTTAGTAGTGCAGATGGGTGACCACATCTGGAAAGAAGAAAAAGTGCATGCCTGAAAAACTGAATTAGGGGCCCAGTTCAACAAAACACTTAAGCATGTGCTTAACTTTAAGCAGCTGAGTAATCCAGCCCCAATTCAGTAAATCAATTTAGCACATGCAGAACTGGGCTAGATGACTCAGGTCTTTCGTATCTCTGATTGCTATGATTTTTATGTATGTGTGTCTCTATTGGGAGGGTAAATACGTTCACTTACCTTAGGCATGAATTTCTATATGCTAAAAATTGTACCACTAACTAAGGATGTTTCTTACTATGCATGAAGATGTGGCTTGTTGTAGAAGGATTCCATATGGCTGGAGATGTGCAGGCTGGTCCTGTGAAGTGCTGAGCAACTGCAACAATGGGAGTTGAGGTGAGTCAGCACCTCACAGGATCAGTTCCATGAAAAGCTGTGATGGTTCTTCAATGTCATTGCTAAGTGTCTCTTTGCCATAGACTCGCCAGAACCAGCGCCCAGCAATGTAAGCACCTGGAAGCATTAATATTTCCACACTCTGTCCTGAAACTCAGAGGCAGGTTAAATAGCTCCGTCACTTTGCATAGTCACACCCAGTGCCATTGCCTTGCGGCACTAAGCAGTCAGTATAAATCCATCAGCCTGCACTGCATATTTCACTGGAGAGTTTCTAGCAAGCCAGGTGACAGGCAGCATGACAGCGCAGATGCTACTTTTTGTAATGCTCTTGCTAGGGATTCAAGGTAGGAAGGATAATGAACGTGTGAAATGTGGCAACCATTCATTGATTCAGCTGCTGTTGCGCTGAATCATTGGTATGTTTAATTTCTAGTACCTTTAAACTTTAAACTAGCCATTTGTGACCCATGCACATTTTCTTTCCACATCTAGACACCAGTGGGCAGATTGTGTTGACTCAGTCTCCAGAGTCTCTCTCGGTCCTCCCTGGAGAAACTGTTACTATCAAATGCCTGTCTGATACAGACATTGATGATGACATGAACTGGTACCAGCAGAAATCCGGAGCTGCTCCTAAGCTCCTTATCTATGAAGTTTCTAATCGCCTAACGGGGGTCCCAGCCAGGTTCAGCAGCAGCGGCTATGGGACAGATTTCACTTTCACCATCAGCAGTGTTGAAGATGATGATGCTGGAGATTATTACTGTCAGCAAGGTGATCGTACCCCACTCACAGTGATACACACCAATACAAAAACCTCTGCCCGGGCCATCTGTTCTATAGCAGTTACATAGAGGGCACTTCTCAGCTCTCCAGCACTTCCCTACTCAGTCATGCATGCACAGTAAACCACATAACATTTTTCATTGTTCTCCCTCAAGCCATCTCAGCTCTTCATGAATAGTCTCCCTGTCTGAAAGTCATTTCCATGGAAGGATCTAGGGTTTTATCCCCTCTTGATAAAATAAAATATTTCACCTGGGAAAACAAATTAACTGATGTTTAA